CACCACATTAGCAGTGAAGGGTCTTTACAGGGTACCAGGAGCACAAAGCCCAGGAGAGAGGGCTGGGCTTGGCTCAGCCTCACACTCAAGAATCAGGCTCAGGCTCTCTGACTGGCACAGCAAACCTGCCAGCTCTTTCTCTGCATGAGTCCTGGGCAAAGCCACGACTTTATGTTAGGAGACTCCAGGATGTCTCTTAATAGCACCTCCCACCCCCCCTCCACTCCCCAGGCAGAGGGGAGGTGCCTCTGTTAGAACACTTCACCCAAGCCGAAGCTGCATCTGTTCTGTGTCTTCTGCACTGGCCGTGAGCTTCTAGAAGATGGGGTGGGCAGTCTAGGCTGGGTCTCCAGCACCCAGCGCTGGTGGCATAGCTGCACGGCACATTACCTTCACACAGACGAACAAGCAAAGGAAGGTGATGACATTCAAGTTACAATGGGCTTAGAGTCTAGGCACCTTATTCTCATAAGCGAGGCCTCAGACCCAGAGCGCAGAAAGGATTGCCCAAAACCACAAGTGTGATGGGAGGAGAGTGGAAACAGAACAGTTTGGTTCATAGGAGCACTATTCACAAATAGCCAAAAGGTGGAAACAGCTCAAATGTTCAACTGATGAATAGATAAATAAAATGTCATCCATCCTATAGTAGAATATTATTCAGCCATAAAAAGGAATGAAGTACTGATGCATGCTTTGGACTTGGATGAACCTAGAAAACATTATGCTAAGTGAAAGAAGCAAACACAAAAGGCTACATATTTTCTGATTCCATTTATATGAAATATCCAGAATAGGCAAAGCCATAGAGACAGAAAGCAGATATGCGGTTGCCAGGGGCTGGGGGGGAGGAGGACAGGGAGTGACTCCTTAATGAGTACAGGATTTTCTTTTGGGGTGACAAAAATATTCTGGAAGCAGATCATTATGATGGTTGCACAACATTATGAATGTATTAAATGCCACTGAATTGTACTCTTTAAAATGGTCAAAATGTTGAATTTTATGCTATGGGAATTTTAGCACAGTAAAAAGAGTGGTTTCAGACCAGTTCAGATGCTACCAGCTGAGTCTAAAGTCCATTCCTTAAACATAAGCTGCTGCTCCCCCACTTCCTGTTATAGGCGTCCCCAGCCAGGCCAGGTGTGAAAGAGCCAGCATCACTCTCAGTGCAGGAAGCCACCTGGTCAAGTGGAAGAGGGCTTCCCCCGCCCCCAGGGAGGCAGGATTCCTTGCTTCTGGGTTGCTTCTTGCCCACATGCCTCTACTGAGGCCTAGCCCCCATCTGCTGCTCCATCCCACTGACAAGCCTACTTCTGATTGCACCAGATGTTCCCTACATCTTGAGCTTCCATGGCTTGCTCTATTTGCTCTACTCAAGAAATCCTTTTCCCTTGCAACACTTCATCCACCTAGAAACATATTTTAAAAACCAGCTCCTGTCTCCCTCTTGGAGAAGACTTCCTCTACCCCTTGCCCCTCCCCACAAATGAGCAGAGCCTTCCCCAAAGTGGTCACATGCATACCTTAGTTAAAGCAGGTATCAGAGTACAGTCGTGCCTGCATGTCTTTCTCTCTGAGAAGACTGGGAGCCTGCAAGGAGGGGCCTGGATCATTCATCACTGTATTCGTAGGGCAGCTCCAGGCCTTGCTCACAGAAAGTGCATGCCTGTTGAATGACACGATGGCTTTGGGAAGCTGCTTTCACTCTGGGATGTCCTCCATCAGTGAAGTGGGGGCAGGCTGGGTGATTTCCAAGTCCCTCCATCCCTGGAGCTCTCTGGTTATAAAGGAAGCAGTGGTGTGGGCAGCCCAGCCAATGGCTGCTCTTGTCATAGGCCAATCTTCTGTTCCTGTTGCCTGGCTGATAGAAGTGGGGAAGGAGAGAGAAGGAGCCTTAGCAATCCAGTACAAGCAGCTATTTCTGCTGGTGGTGGGGAGGGAGGAAGGCAGTACCCAGAGACTTGAGTTTTCCATCCAGCCTGAATGGCCATCTATTTTCTCTAGAAAGCTGATTAAACCCTCCACTGGACAGTCTAGACATGCAGGTTTTGGATGGGGTCGCCTGGAGTCCTTTGACCTCAGGGAAGAGCAGTAGGCTCTTGCTCCATTTTCCTTTGCAGTCAAGAGGTGCTACTCGTTCTGCTTTTCTGATTATGAAATTAGTCATTTTCTAGGAAGCTTATTTATAGAGTCCGCCGCACACATGCAGCACTGAGCTATTCTGAACACAGCTTGGGGCCTGAGAGGCTTAAGGTGTGAAAGCAGGTGTGAGTCACACATTGGTCCCCTCCCAGAGGTATCTGGATACTATGCCTTTCTGTACCCAGCCAGGGGGCTGCCCTCAGGGGCTGCCATCCGGCTGGGTGCTCTTTAGGGTAAGGAAAGAACAAGTTTAGGATTGGAAGGTTGGGGGTGGGTGCTCTCAAACACAATCCCTGTGGCCACGACCAGCTCAATATGAAATGTGGGGCAAGTCAGAGCCCACCCTCTGCCTCAGTTTCTCCTCTGTAAAATGAGAGGCCTTCCAGATCTGTGATTCTCTGACTTCTGTGGACGACAGCTGTAGAGGAGAGCTCCAAGCTACTTAACAAAGACCCTCCCACAAAGCAGCTCAGATCATGGCTGTGTTTGAGGTTCCTAATGTTTTCTCAAGAACGTCAGGTCAACATTCACTTATTCCATAAGTGTTTATTTATTGAACACCCTCCTACGAACCAGGCACTGTGCAAGGCTTTGAAGATACGATGGTAAATAAAACAGAAACAGTGGACCCTGCTTTCATGAAACCTACAGTTGAATGATGGAGACAGATGTTGAATAATGGCATAAATTAAAATGACATTTCTAACTGTGTCAGGTACATACCATGAGCAAAAAGTACGAAGAAGTAGAGCTGGAGAACCGCTCTAGGTAGAGAGAAAAGCATGTGCAAGGCACTGGGAAGGAAAGAGCCTTCCCGGTGTGGCTGGGGTGCAGAGGTCAAGGGGGAGAGGGGCAAGGGGTAAGGCTGGAGGGATCAACAGGGACCAGACCACCCAACATCTAGTGAACGATGCCAAAGGATTTTTATCTTTGTTCTAAGTTCAATAAGGATGCCATGAGAATATTTTTTTGAGAAATGTTATGTGATAAATGTTGAGTTTCGAGGAACTGATTCTAGCTCCTCTGTTCGGAGAAGAGTTCACCATGCCGCTTTCCATTGCCTGGGGCAGAGGGGACTTCCACATCCAGTTGTGCAGGTGGCAAACTGCACAGTCTATCTATGCCATAAGCATTGGCGCCATGTGGAGAATGTTTTGGAGGCCAGCCTGAGTGGATGCCAGCAATCAGTTAAAATATTGCCACCGCAATCTAGACAACAGATGATGGTAGCTGGGACCACAATGGGGAGGGAGAAAGGTGGGGGTACTCCAGGGACATTTAAAGAAAGCACCTAAAGTCAGACGTTTACGTTGAAGGTAGTGACCCCCTCTCTGCAGGAGTGCTGGGCTCTAGGACTTGTGATTCCCTGAGACCCTGGCAATTGGGTTGAGGCAAAAAGAAAAATGAAGTAATACAATCCCAGTTGCAAAAGAAGCTATCGCAGAGAGAAGGGCCACCCTGAACCTGTCCTCTCTGCACTTAAGTATTTAAAATCCAGAGTTGGGCCTGAAATAGGCCCCAGGGCCAGTCCAAGAAACAGGATAGGAGGACAGGCAGGCAGAGAAGCAGCTGAGCCTCTGGACTTCCTGGAAGTATGCTAGAGAGGCTATGTCAACAGTTCTTTTGGTTGCCAGTTTCAGAAATCGCATCCCACTGGCATAAACTAAAATGTGGGGATTTATTGGAAGGATCCTTGGCCATCTTATGGTCTTGATAGACATACTGTCCAATCAAGACTCAGTAGAGATGGTAACAAGGCAGCTCTCAGGCCCTCAGCAGCAGGTGTTTGCAGGTCTTCTCTCCAGGGCACTGTGGCTACCATGATTCAGCACCAGCAAAATGCACCAGAATGCATTTTCAGTGTGCAAGGGAGAAGATTTGATTGACTCACCTTGGTTTGTGTGTCCAGCCTTGGATCAGTCATCAGCTACTCCCCAGGGTCAGAGACACGAATGATAGACCAGGCCACTGGAGCCCACGCTGCATTTCAGGCCATTCCCAGCGTAGGGGAACCCCTGTGAACCAAGTGGTTGCCCTCAAAATATGTCTACTCTAAAGATGCTTCATGGGGTCTAGCTGATCTCCAGTAACCTTTTTCCAGCTTACCGGGTAAAAGATCAAAACTAGACACCCATACTGTCCTATAAGGTGCCCTGATAGGCTAGAAAGAGGGTTTTCTGATTTCAGGAAGGAAACATTTAGACTATGCGAAACATGTATATAACTACTTTTTCTAGCTATTTCTGGAGAAGAGTTCTGCATGTCACTTTCCACTGCCTGAAGTAGAGGGGATTTGCACATCTTGGAGAGCTGGACACAGGATTGTGGGTTACTCAGAGCCCCCTTCCTGTTCACCTATGGTTCACAGCCACAGGAAATAGGACACACAGTGGCAAGGCAGCAAGTGCATGAGCCTGGAATCCTAGGCCATAATTTCAAACTCTTCTCTATTCTGTTTAGCTGTGTGACTTTGGGCAAGTTATTTAACCTCTCTGAGCCTGTTTAATCCCTCATTCGTGGGCTCATGGTGAGGATTAAATGTGGTGAAGTTGGCAAAGTGTTTGCATATAGTAAATCTTCCTTCCGTGATAGAGATGATGATGGTGATGATGATGGTGATGGTTGTGATGATACTGCTGCCACTGATTCCACAAGGAGGACACCTGCAAATTTCTGCTCCTGCCTCTGCGGCTTGACCCCTCAATAGGCTGTTAGTTTCCACAGGTCCCTTTGATGGGGTGGGGTTATTCAGAGGGATACAGAATACAGGAGAGGGAGGTTTCTTATCTTTGCTCAGGGTTTTTGTCTTGATCCTGGCTCACCAGCATCATCTCACCTTTTCTATCCTGCTGCAGGAGTGAGAGAGAGAACCACGCTGCTGATGACTCCAAGGGAGGGGCCCTGGACATGTGCTGCAGTGAGAGGCTACCGGGTGAGTCTTCGCAGCCCCCAGGTCCTCCCAGAGCTCAGAGTGGAAAGAGAATACCCTGGCTGGTGCTGGGGCTGGAGTAAAGCCGAGCTAGCTGTGAACTTGCATGAGAAGAACCAGGCAGCTGCTCCATAGGTCTTCATTTAAATGGGGGCTTGTTTTTCTAATCCCTGATGCATTCTGGCCTGTTACCATTTGGAGCTGCTCTAGGCTCACATGGAGGGAAGAGCAAGCAACTGAGGGTGTGCTAGGAAATGAAGAGAAGGATGAAGAGCTGGGGAGTCCAGGGCTCCTAGGGAATGACCGGTGACCGTTCATTGCTGGGCTGACTTCAAGAGGTAAGGGTAGGAAGCAAAACCTGAAGGCAGCATGAGCCAAGGCGGGGGGCGGCGGGGAGGGGAGGAGGTGCGAAACTACCTGACGTCCCTGTTGAGAAGCCCGGCTTGAGGGTGAAGCTGTGCTGCTCGAGGCCAGCTGACCACACTTGCAGGCCATTGCAGCTACCGTGGAGATTATTACCAAGGCGCTCTTGCCCACAGGGTGGCAACTTGTCCCAGTTGTAACCCCATGACCCACGCCCTGATAAACAGCCTCAGAAGGAAGAAAAAGTTAGGGGAGATATTTAATTTTTTAATAAAAGCTTTTATTGTGAGCCGGGCATGTGGCTCACGCCTGTAATCCCAGCACTTTGGGAGGCCGAGGCAGGCAATCACAAGGTCAAGAGATAGAGACCATCCTGGCCAACTCGGGGGGTAAAACCCCCCTACTAAAAATACAAAAATTAATTTGGCGTGGCGGGGCGCACCTGTAGTCCCAGCTACTTGGGAAGCTGAGGCAGGAGAATCACTTTAACCTGGGAGGCAGAGGTTGCAGTGAGCCGGGATCATGCCTCTGCACTCCAGCCTGGCAACAGAGCAAGACTCCATTGCAAAAAAAAAAAAAAAAAAAAATTATTGTTTTTTTTCCTTCTTATAACAAAAGGTTAACTGTCAAAGCATTAGAAATAAATACAGGTGGGAAAAAATCACCATAATCCTGTAACACAGCATACATTTTCGTCTCTCCTTCCAAACATTTTGTTCAAAGTCTTTTGAACTCTAACTTTGAAGCCCAAAACCTGTAGCTTGTCAGAGACCTCATGATTGGCAAGGAACCTTAGAATTGAGTCTTCATGTGACGTTGTTTAAGATAGACACTGGAGGCTGGGCGTGGTGGCTCAAGCCTGTAATCCCAGCACTTTGGGAGGCTGAGGCGGGTGGATCAAGACCATCCTGGTCAACATGGTGAAACCCCGTCTCTACTAAAAATACAAAAAATTAGCTGGGCATGGTGGCATGTGCCTGTAATCCCAGCTACTCAGGAGGCTGAGGCAGGAGAATTGCCTGAACCCAGGAGGCGGAGGTTGCGGTGAGCCGAGATCGCACCATTGCACTCCAGCCTGGGTAACAAGAGCGAAACTCCATCTCAAAAAAAAAAAAAAGATAGACACTGGAAACAACCAGGTATGGGTCTAAAACAATGACTCTTCAAAACAAGTGACATTTTATTCACACCACACTCAGTGCCCCAGCTCCTGAGGAAGCCCTTTGGTGCAGTTCATACCTTAACCAGTAGGGGGTGCCATTGCTCAAAACACTTTGGTCAGCCTGCTGAGATAGTCTAAGACGGACACCATCTGTCTTGAAGAGGAGAATTCTCTGAAAAGATGTGAGAACTCTCTGAATATCTGAATGGCTGTCTTATGGAGAGGACAGGAGATCTTTTCCGTATAGCGTAGGATGACATGATCCCAACACATTGAAATTAAAGACAGGCCTGCTGGCCCGTAGAACTCTGACTCTAAAAGTGGTCCAGTCATAGATCTCAATAATTCCAGAGGAAGAAACGAGTGTTCCATCACAGGAGGCATTCAAGTAATGGCTAGATAGACATTGGAGAGGAAATTTCCACAGTGGGTGGGAGGTCCAGATGACATCAGAAGTCCCCTTCAACTATTAAACAGTTCTGTGACTCAGATATGAGTCATAGAGTTCGGAGATGACTCTACAATCAGGGATGGCCCCACTGGCTAGAAGAAAGCCACAGAAAATAGGGCAGAATGAATGGAAGTCCAGAGAATGGCATGGTGTGGAGGCAGAAAGAGCATTTGAGTCCCCCTGTTCTGCTTCAGGCTGTGTGTTTATGCACAAATCACTTAACCTTGCTGGAGCTCCAGTCCCTCATCTGTAAATAGAAACAATAGTGATATGAGTATTTATCCTCACAAGCATCCTGGGGGGAATAAAATAACCATGGCCGGGCGCGGTGGCTCAAGCCTGTAATCCCAGCACTTTGGGAGGCCGAGGCGGGTGGATCACGAGGTCAAGAGATCGAGACCATCCTGGTCAACATGGTGAAACCCCGTCTCTACTAAAAATACAAAAACATTAGCTGGGCATGGTGGCACGTGCCTGTAATCCCAGCTACTCAGGAGGCTGAGGCAGGAGAATTGCCTGAACCCAGGAGGCGGAGGTTGCGGTGAGCCGAGATCGCGCCATTGCACTCCAGCCTGGGTAACAAGAGTGAAACTCCGTCTCAAAAAAATTAATTAATTAATTAATTAATTAATTAATAACCACTCAGTCATTCACTCAAGTGCTTCTTGAGCACCTACTAGGTCTCAGGTTCTGTACTAGGTGCTAGAGATATGGTGGTAAATAAAACAGACACAGTCCCTGCTGTACTGAAAGGTCATGGACAAGTTCTGCTTTGAGCTGCTTCTGCAAAATGAGATGAAGCCACAGTAGAGATGCTGCAGTAATAAGCATAATTTATTGAATCCTAATATTCTCTCCTATACCTCCCCAAAAGCCAGAAACCAGTGTAGAATAGAAGAGGAGCATTGGTCATGTCATATCCTAGGAAATCAGTGTCATTTGTACCCCCATCTTACAGATGAGAGGACCAAGGCCCAGGGAGCTTAGGCAGTCTGTCCAAGGTCACTTAGCTGGTAGAGGGAGGATTCACTCCAGGCAGTCTCTCTCAGTAGCCCGCATCCTCACCACTACCTTGTTCTGCCTCTGTTGTCACCATGGAGCCACTGTCATCTTCTGACACCCTGTGGACAGAGGCAAAAAGAGTTAAAGTGTGTTTGTGCCAGATGGAAGTTTAAAGGAGGTAGACAATGTCACTGTGCCTGTGCCCATCTGTGTCCTTCCTCTGGGAAGTCCTACTTGCAGAGGCTGAGCAAGTTGTGTGACCCTCGAGACTCACACAATGCCATCCTGATAGGGGACTACAGTGATTATTTGCCTCCTCCATGGGGCCGTGAGCTCTCTGAAGGCAAGCACCTCCCTATTTCATCTCTGCATCCCATGTGCAGCAGGTATTCACTCATTTCTTCATTCTGTCACTACTGATTGAGCACCTGCATGTGCTGGGCACTGTTGTAAGCCCTAGAGATCGAGCAGAGATCCAAACTGAAAAAATTTCCCACCCTCACAGGACAGTATATGTGCTGGTCAAGAGCAGGGACTCTGGACCCCAGCTTGGTTCCACCACTTACCAGTGGGATAATCATGGGCAAGTACTGAATCTTTCTGGGCCTCTCATTCACAGTATAGCAAGAACAATATTCACTACTGTATAGAATTGTTAGAGGATTCAGTGAGTTAACAGAAAGCTTAGAACAGTGCCTGGCTTATAGCGAGTGCTGTACACACATTTGCTATTAAGGAAAAAATAGACAACAAAAAAAATAAGTAAAAGCTATGCCACATAGTGTGGCCCATAGTGGTAAGTGCTATGAAGACAATTAAAGCCAACAAGAGGCCGGGCGCGGTGGCTCAAGGCCTGTAATCCCAGCACTTTGGGAGGCCGAGGCGGGCAGATCACGAGGTCAAGAGATCGAGACCATCCTGGCCAACATGGTGAAACGCCATCTCTACTAAAAATAAAAATAAAAATAAAAATAAAAAATTAGCTGGGCGTGGTGCCGTGCGCCTGTAGTCCCAGCTACTTGGAAGGCTGAGGCGGAAGAATTGCTTGAACCCAGGAGGCAGAGGTTGCCGTGAGCCGAGATTGTGCCACTGCACTCCAGCCTGGTGCCTGGCGACAGAGTGAGACTCTGTCTCAAAAAAAAAAAAAAAAAAAAAAAAAAGCCAAGAAGAGGGGGATGGGAATGAACTGGGGGGTGGTTTGGCATTGTGAATAGGGTAAACCCAGAGCCTGGTGTGGAGTAGGCTTCCGCAAACGTTTGTCAAGACACTGACCTGTACTGGGACACAAAAGGAAATGGAGGTGTATAGGCCAAGAGGGTTAGAGTGCTGGGCCTTTAGAAGAAGCCTATGAGCACTGCAGGCAATTGCATAATAATGGTGTAAAAATCCAGCCCTCAAGTATTCTCTCCCCTCCTGGCTGTCTTGCCCAGAGGTGAGGCAGAGTAAGGGCCAGCCATGCCTGGTGACTTCTTCATTCCCACACCCACCTCCAGATGGGAGGCAACATGGCCAACACTCCCAGCCGCCATGGCCACCCAGATCTGAGCCAACAGTCATATAGTCCCCTCAGAGCTTTCTGGAGTGGAAACATCCTCAGGCATCACCAACACCTCATGGCAGGCACTCCCCCACTGCCCCCACCCGCTGCCCCAGGGCCAGGCATGCTGCCTCTGGGACACCTCCACGTGTGCGCTGGCACACTCATGTTTCTGCTCACTTGTCACGGCCGCATGCTCCCCTGTGCACATGCATGTACCCACGCACAGTCACCCGGGCACGTGACCTGCCTGTCTCACGCAGCCCTGCAGGGGCGGACGCACACCTCCACGTTCGCACACCTGCACATCTTCCTCTTGCACACTCACCTCTCTCAGCTGCATCCCTCCACCCCCCAGCTTCCACTCCGCATGCTTCCTGGAGATGTGCTTGCTCTCTCGTTCCCTCCTTAGGTGACTTTCTCTCTCTCCCCCGCACCTTCACACACACTCTCGAAAATGACTAGGCAGACTCCTCCCTTTCCTCTCCATTCTCCGTCCTCTTCCCAGACCCGCAGTCCAGTCGTGCACAGCTCCCAGGTACTGTGGGGGCACTGAGTGTCTACCCCACTGCCTTCCCCACCCCCATGCACATGCACACACAGGTATTTTTATTCTCCCTCATGCACACACCCTTTTTCATGTGGTCACCCTCCTTTTCTCTTTCACTCTTCCTCTCTTGCTCACCTCATTTGCTCACAGTCACCCAAACACATTGGTACCTTCAAACTCACACTCTCCCTTCTTCTATGTGTGGGTGTTCATATTTGCAGGAAACCAGGCAGGCAGCACTGCTGATGCTGGAGTCTCCACTCCTTCCCCCAG